TTCAGCACTTCATGATTTTCTTCTTCACTTTTGCCATTCTTTTATTATGAACCTTTGATCCTATTTATAGGGAAAATTTGTGACCAATTTTGGTAATCACTCGATTAATTCAATTAGAATGATTATAATTGAATAATTATGGATTTTGAAAGAGTGGGATGTGCGTTTAAAATTTTATGGGCCTTAGTAGGCTTTAATTTTGTAAATTTAATTGGGCTAATTATTTAAATTGATCCAACCCATTATTTGTTATTTTATTTATTTATTTTTTATGTCTACAAACCATCTTTTTTTTTATTTCATTTATTTAGACCTCGAAAGAATTTGTCAACATTTTTTATTAAATTTTCTTGGTTCTTGAAAAAAAAAAAATTAATGACAAGTTTAAATACAAAGACATCATACCTCTCTTTTTTATTCGTCTATCCTTACAAATTAACCTCCTAGCTTTACTTCTGGGTCACATCTCATCCACGATTTGTTGTTGCATATGTTCTGGTCCCTTAAAGGGGTCCGAATATTCACGCACTATATATAGTGCTACTCAACGGTTTAGTGCATACATTTTTATTTTCAACAAGTAAAGGGCACGGTGGCATGTGGGGGTTGGGGTTTGGTTGTGGTTGAATTTGGATGGGGCTAGGTTGAGATGGGGAAGAAGGGGAATAATTTTTTTTTTTTTCATTTTTTATTATTTAAATATTTTATGGAAAAATATAAAGTTACTATTTTACCATTTTTGAAACTAATTGGTCATAGTCATTTTCCCTTGTCCATTCATCACATGAGAATGAAAGGTTGGGACTGACGATTTTTCGGCCAGACCGATCGTCTGGGCCGGGTTTTATAACTATGACATATATAATTCTGTCAATATTCACAAAATGATATTGTGACCAAGTTTTGTATAATTCAAAGTAATAGCACAAGTTTGAATTTTTACAATTGCACTAAAACCACTAAATTGTAATATATATTATTTTGGTAAATTTAGTGCCACAATTCAACAAGTGCGATAATGGTCAAACTTTCAACAAATTATCATTCAGAACAATGTTCATATGTACTTAATGCATTGATTTTGTCACAAAATTGTCATGTCATAACCCTACAATTTTCAGAATATTATTGTCTCCCATAACTCAAGTATGTTTATAATCAGCCAAAAAATATTCTTTATTATATTTGTCTAGAAGAGAAAAGATCCATGTATTAAACTATTAAAATCACAATAATACTTGTATATAGTCAATTCCAAAATTATTGGAAAAGCTCAAGGGCTGTTCTCATCGTGTTTTAATTTTGAGTTTTGAATTCGTCTTGTGTTTTGAGTGTCTATTTTGAAATGCTGAAAATGCATTTTTCTGTGTGTTTTTTTATGGTAGAGTTGAGTTCTTCTGGTCCATAAAAGTAGCTGCAATTTATCGCTAACATTAATATTACTGTCAATGAAAATTATTTTTATTGTTAACATTAATATTACTACCGATGGAAATTACTATTGATGTAACTGATGAAGGTGCCATATGAAAATTTTGTCAAAGATAACAACATTAGTTAATGAGAGCATTTTCAAAAGACTCTAAAATAAATGCTCATTTTATGTATAATAGAGAGTATTTTTAAATTTAAAGTGAAAACTACTATAGACTCTGATAATGTTATCTATTTTGGTCAAGAAACATTCATTGATTTCTCCTTATCTTTTATGCAAAATATCTTCTATGATTAATGTTATTCAACCTCGATGATACTAAACATCAATTTAGGTGACAACTAAATGACATTAACTGATAGATTTATTTAAATGCAATATCACATTATTCGTTTCATATCATTTATAGCAAGTACGCAATCTAATTGAAATCTCTCTATCTCTACTTGAATTCAACCGCATTCCAACTTCACTAACTTGAGCAGAAAAAAGTCTTTGATCATTGCACTTCCTTTTTCCCCTGTGATCGATCAGGCTAACCGATATTGTTTCACCTTTTAGGAAGCTAAGATGAGAGACAATCAACCCTAAGTTGGTAAAAGGTTTCAACCACTCAATAGCAACACACAAATAGAATGAAATAGAGATGAAACAACTTCTTTTCATTATTATTGTTGTTAAGTTACTTATTTTCTATTATTGCTTTAATAAAGAAGGAAAAAAAAACCCATGTAACAAGTCCTATAACGAATTCATCAACGACTAAGAACTATAAAACTACTGAAAACAATTTAGGGAATGATCTGAAAAGGATGTTTCTAATAAATGTAAAAATATCCAGTGGAAATTGACACACTAACTAAAATTCTTAAAATCAAATCACACCTAAAAACTAATAAATACACCCAACTAGACATTTACGTGCAACCACACCTTTGGACAGAAAATCTGGGTTTCAAAGGTTGTCATCAACTTTCATCACACTTCCATCTGGAGGTCGGAACACAGCTCAAGTAACGACACCAGTGGCAACTGTCATATCCATTCACTCCTCGAAACAGCATCACTAGCCCTACCGTAAACCTGCATTTAGAGAGACGGCAACTTAGTAATACTGATATGTAACGTCTAATAAGATGGAACAGTCGACCAACCTTTTACTACAACGAGTTCAAATAGCTAATAAACCAAAGGGACCTAATTTCAGTTCAACGAAAAGAAAAGGAGGCGATAATTCTTCTAACTGGCAGTTTCAACCATCCACCACGGCTTTTAAACATGATATTAACGATAGTAGTGATGAGGAAAGACTCGTATTGATAGTTTGGGGGAGTTCCTTACCCTGCAATCAGTAGTATAAGAGAAAACACCCACAAGACATACTGATAAGCTTTGTATTTAGATTTGACACGAACACCTTCTGGAAGATTCTGGCGATCTATCCACCCAAACTGAGGAAGGGGTAGAAGAACGAAACCTAGAAGGAATCCCGTCAAAAATCCACCTATATGAGCAAAATTATCAACATGCGGAAGAATTCCAATGGCTAAGTTTATGGCAACTATCACCAAAAGCGTCAACAGTGCAGCAATCTGAGAGCCAAATAAAACAAATCAATTAAGAGCATGCAATAGATATATATCTCTTAACAGTTCGCATGAACATATAGAGAATTTACTAAGCATGCCAGTTACTCTTAAGTAAATTTCTTTTGCCATCTTTGATCTGGAAGTTACTTTTTCGGGGCGAATTTTTTGTTCATACATTTGCTTTTTAAGAAGTTTTTACTTACTCTTAACAAATAATTCCTTTTACTTTTTGTTAAGCTTCGCCAAACATGCTTGTGAAGTAAAAATAAAAGATAAGATGGTAGAAAAACAAGCAAGCATCACCCGCCTTGTTTGTATATATAGTCCAGTTTGTAATCAACTCAGAAAGCATTGCTCCAAGAATCCCAAAAAGTGCACCCGAGGCCCCAACAGAGATGTAGTTTCCAATAAACAAGGACGAGAGTACGCTACCACCAAATCCCGATAACAAATAGATAATTCCAATGCGCACTGCCAAACGAAAAGACAATTTGAGCATGTTTTAAATGACGATGAACACTAGAGTCAAGCATAAAAATGTCAATTCAGGGTGAGAGCTCCTACCAAAGCCGAAATGCTGCTCAAGGCGGATGCCAATGAAGACGAGACTCAACATATTTGCAAGCAGATGTATAATACCAGCATGTAGCCACATACATGAGACGAGCCTCCACTGTTGATTCTGATGCACCACCTTAGTCCATTTAAGAGCACCTAACTTCTCCAATCTTTGGTAATAAGAAAAGCAAGATTGCAATATGATTAGCACTTATAAAATGTGTGCATAACTTCTATTTTTATTTTTTTGGCGTACTAATTAAAACAATTACCCTGATATCACCAACCACCGTCAAACAAAAAATACGTAATCAGAGAAAAGCCAAAATTCATCCGAAAAAAATCTAAATACAACAACCAAGTGTGTACTAAGTTGGTATCAATTCAGATCAACGTCGTAAAACAATCGAAGACTATATATTTGTAATTACAGTAGAATAAAACCTTAATGCATGAACTCAAATACCACAACAGACAAAGATAGACTCCTAAAAAAGTAAGTACACGAGCATTGTAGTAAAAAACAAACGTAATCTAAGTTACATAATATCCCAAAAACAGCAAGGACTTAATACATTAGAAATACGACTCGTTTTCAACTTGATGTCGCGCATAGATTTTTCCATCATCGACACAGAATATCATTCTCAAGCTACTAAACGAGCATAATTATGAGTGCTCTGTTTCAATTTTCTAATAAACGAAACTCGTTAAATCATTCGCCAAAATACAAGAAATTTGAATACTTATAGATGCGAGTGAATCAAATTATTGGGAAGGAGAAATGACAAAACTGGATTTAAGCCAACACATTCTGAATTCATAACATTTTATGGCCACTGGACAAAATTATTAAACAAAGAATGGTAGTCAATTCGCAGCGCTCCCAACAACCAAAACAAACCAATATCACTTCAAAGTTCTTGTAAGAATCAAATGCATGTATTTTGCATACACTACAGGGTAAAGACTCAGTTTTTAAGCTAGAAAAACTCAAATTCTCTGCAAATAAAACATGCCCTCGATCAATTTAAAAAAAAATCTCTCCTAAAGATAAGAAACTAAACACAATTCACACAAACTCAGCACCAAAAAGCTAAAGACAGGCAATACTAAAAATTAAGCACAAAAATGAAAATAAAAGAGCATGTCCTTAACTAATCCAACAAAATTTTATCCTCAAAAAGAAATTATACAATAACTCACATTAATATTGCACAAACTAAAGAGTAAAGACTCATTTTTTACACCATAAAACCTCAAATTCATATTCACAATAAAGAAAAGGATAGAAGTAAAATTATCCTCACGTGGAAGAAGAAGGCCCAAACAGAGGATTCTCCCTCCACGGCTGGAAAGAAAACCTCCCAAGAAACCTCGCCACACATTTTCTTTCATCAACAGGAACGAACCCCTGATTCTTCATATGTTTTGGGCAATTATTCACATACATCTCGACCACAAACACCGCAACATTAGCCACAATAAAAAGCGGGATCAACCATGATGTCCATTGAGTCCCTCTATCTTCAACTGAATAGGCTACTGATGAATTATTATTGCCTCTCCTACTTTTCTCTCCCCTGCTTTCTAAATCCTCCGATGGCATGGCCATGGCTATGGCTAAGGCTAATTTTTTTCCTCTCTTTCTTTTTGCTGTCAGTTTCTGTTTTCAAGAACTTTCACCTGAAAATCTTGAATTCATTGCGTATTTAAGTGGGATAGTGTGAAGATAATGGGATATGAAGTGGGTTTAATGGGAGAAACGGTTCATTTTGAAGTGAGAGAAACAGGGGAGTTGTTCACCTCAGTCAGCAATGGAGCTTTGTTCCTCTGTCAATGCATTTACAACGTTATTATATGCCTCAGATGATTCCCGAATTTTATTTTATTTTTAGAAAAAAGTGGATGATGATGTGGCAAGTTGTAATTGGATTGTTGATGTGATCAAGTACGATGTGGATGCGTATGATCATAGCCTGAACCAGTGGTTTAAGTACGAGGACCGGGAGTTTCTACTTTTATTTTGGCGGTTACTATTAAACCGACATGGAGGAGGGTTATTTATTGGGTAAATATTCTTTTTCTTTATTTTTTAAAAGTTCTTTCTTAATTTAATGAAGAATTAATTGTCAAGTTTAATCAAACTGTGTGGAATATTGGTTCATATAAAGTAAAACACAAATTTAGTGAATCAAAATAATAGATGCCAGAACGGAACACACCAAAATGTAACTTTATTATTCATACTGAATAAAATCTCCGATTCGCTCCTTGTGCACATAGGCACATCGTCGAACCACATTAAATGCTTGTGTTGATTTCTCTATTGTTTTTGCGCTTACAATCCAACAAACTGCCTCTCAACTGAACTTTGTTCACCAATACAACTTGGAAGAGTTAACTAAGCTAGAGCGTGGGATTTAATCATTTTTTATTGTATCAAATGAGTTTCGATCGTTGTTCCATCACAAATCTCTATATTGATTGCTACACACATTCATAATTTTTTCTATTTGCGAAATAATACCACTGTACCAATGTGAAATAATTATTGCTTAATCAAACTTGCTTAAATGGCGAGTACATGTCGAGAAGAAAATCGTTTAATGGCCTTTAAAATAAAATAAAAAAAATTCAACATACTCATTTTCAATCACACATTTTCATAATAAAATATTCTGCACATAAATTAAAAATTATTTTCTATTTTTTAACCACATATTCTTCAAAAATTCACTATTTAAAATATTATTTTTTAGTAAACAATGGCCACCAAACAGGGGCTAAATGAACATTTTAATTTTTGTTGAGTCGTGAAGGAATACTCTTTGACAGCCTTTTTTAATTTTCTCTAATATTTTGGCCAATCTTTGATAAATTTTTCTTTATCCAAGTACAAATGGACATCGGGAACGATAAGTTTCAGGTTTGTGTCTTTCCTCACACTCTCTCCAATCCTCCATTTTCATTTACATAATTACATTTATAGATAAATTTAGTCAGTATCAATCAATAACTTAAACAACACATTCAAAATTAGTACTTATTATTATTCACACACTTCAAAATCTGGTAGGACATGGAATTAATAATTATCTTGTCATACATAATAGGCGTGTTTAGTTGTTTGGAGATAATAGAAGGGATGTCCCTAATCTTTAACCCATTTAACATTTTAGTCCTCAAACTTTGAAAATAGGTGTGCACGTTTCAGCCTTGATATTTAGTTGACATGCCAAATCTTTGCGAAGAACTACAATCTACCCCTTTTCTAAATAATAAAATCAAATCATTAATAAATAAAGAAAGAAAGAAGGAAAAATCAGAAAGGAAAAATTAAGTTTACCCTCGTTGTCTCACCCTCACAACCACACTTGCACACAACAAATCATGTAACTCCATCCGCCAAACCTTACCACTAAATGCCACCCAACGTAACCCTAATCTTCCACTACTACAGCATTCGTTGTTTCCACTTATCACTTATTATGGGATTTACCTGAAAATAGCCACGGTGATCGAGAGGACATCAATAGCATTGTATGTTACCAAAGTGGAAGATTGAGGATATAACTATTGTTTTTGTGAAAGTGGGCAACCTCCATGACTATTCCTATGTTTAAATGTTTTAAAATTTCACCAAATCTTGATTGATTTATTGTTTAAATTCAGATTTTATATAGGGGTTCAGGTTATATTATTATTATTATTATTATTATTATTATTATTATTATTATTATTATTATTATTATTATTATTAATTTTTTTGTTTNCAATTCCATGTGATAGAATCTCTTGAATGTATTTATTTATCTTGATTTGTTGATTTATTTATCTACCTTTTTGATAAATAAATCTTATTGCTTAAATATAAAATTCTATACCCAAATTATAATTTTCTTAACATGGGATGGATCCCTTTTTTAAAAGTATATTATATAGTTTTTTAGCAGTGTTCTAAAATACGTGCATAAATAACTCTTAAGTAAAATAGACTAACTAATCATGATACATAAATGTACATACAATTTCAAAAAATATTTCTTGAAAAATATATTTTATGTTTATAATTAATTAAAATGTGATTGTTTAGTAAATGTATTTTAACAAAGTTTGGAAAGGGATTTTTCATTTTCTCTAACATATTTCTGTAACAAGAGTCGGTATGCTTTTAATGAGTCAGGTCGGGAAGGGGAACAAGTGGATACGAACGAGGTGGTCCGAATAATTTGTACTTCAAACTATGTCTAATCAAAAAATGCCTATTACAATTTACATATACTAAAAACATTAGGATTTGGGCAATCGTAAAAGAAAGAAAGAAAGAAGCTTGTAAAAGTACAAGAATCACTCGATCAGATCAATAACTGATTTACAAAAGACATGAGTTTTAGAATATGCGTCTACTAAGAACAAATGTTTTTATCTCATACTTCATTTGAAATTCTCCAATTTCCTTGCAATCTTTTGTGATTGGTTTAATGGTTTGCTTGAGATATACATGCTTATAGGTATGGAGTAGATGTACATATGCATTATTCATTTTTGTAGCTTCAAGACTTAGCCCCCGTTTGATCTACATTATTATTTCATTAAAATGAAAAATATGATCGTCATCTATCACATCAACATTTAAATTCAAATTTTCTATCTCTTATGTGGACCCCAATAACGGTTATATTTTTCATTCTCATTCTACAATAATTTGGCTCAAACAGGGTCTTAATGTTAAACTACGGGAATTTGTGGTATTCTACAAGAAAAGAGAGGTTTGATGAGTATTTGTAAGAGTCGAAAATTGGATGAAAATCACGTCCAAATTGGTTTTCAAAAGAGTTCTAATAGAATAAGGAAAGTTGCTTTCGCGCGCGGATTTTTTATCTCTGCATAATAGTCAGTAATTTGGTTATACCTTTTTCTTCCGATATCCGATTTAGACGATTCAAATTGATTTAGAAATATAACTCAATGACCTAAAACTTTGTTAGAAATAGCTCTTTTCCAATTCGGATTTTTACTATGCCAAAATTGGGTCTCAATCTTCAGCTAAAAATCTGGAATATATTTTGTGTGAATTGGA